AGAGAGATAACCACAAAAAACAGTCTTTCTTCGAACACTCTTGAACTTATTCGCCAACGTGGCATGGCACGTGCCTCAGGCAACCACAAGCAAACGTCCGAACTGGCAAAACAGTGCAGAAAAGCCATCAAGGATGACCTCAAAAACAGGAGAGCAGCAGTACTGGTAGATGCAGCAGAAGCTGGGAAAAACATTCGTAATGCCCGCCTGTCCTTCACCAACTACAAAACCAAGATGACTGCCCTCCGACATCATGATGGATCTATCACATCTTCCAGAAGGGCAATGGAGAAGATTATTCATGACTTCTACTCAGATCTCTTTAATAGCCACATCCACTTGCCCACATACCACATACCACATGATGGATATGTCGTTCCCAATGTTCTCCCTTCCAAAATCCAACATGCCATCTCGTCGGTAAAGAAACAAAAAGAACCTGGCCCAGACAAGAACAGACCTGAACACCTGAAGAACTTACCATCAGTACTCATCAATACATTAGCTCGACTCTTCACACGCTACCTGTCTGAATGCAAGGATCCATCCCAATGGAAAACCAGCAAGACTGTACTACTATACAAGAAAGGAGACATCCACGACATTGGCAACTATCGCTCAATCTGCCTATTGTCTGTCATCTACAAACTATTCACTCGAGTCATCCTGAATAGGATTAGCAGAACACTAGATGAAGGACAACCATGTGAACAAGCTGGATTCCGAAAAGGATTCAGTACCATTGACCATATCCACAAAATAACCAAGCTCATTGAGGTATCTCGGGAGTTCAAGATGCTGCTCTGTCTAACGTTCATTGATTTAAAGAAGGCCTTTGATTCTGTTGAGACGGAAGCGGTCATGGAAGCCCTAGCCAATCAGGGCGTACAAACTCAATACATCAGGATCCTTCGTGAGCTCTATTGCGGATTCACTACCAAGATCTCACCATTCTACAAAGAAGTAATCATTCATATCAAGAGAGGGGTTCGGCAGGGTGATACCATTTCACCAAAACTCTTCAGTGCCACCCTCGAGAACATCATGCGACGACTAGAATGGGAAAACATGGGAGTGAAGATAGATGGTCGGCAACTACACCACCTCCGCTTTGCTGATGACATCGTTCTAATAACACCAAACATCAGCCAAGCGGCACAAATGCTTGCGGACTTTGACCGTGAGTGTGGAAAGGTCGGACTACAGCTGAATCTTACGAAGACAATGTTTATGAGAAACAGCCTTGTTCCTGACGCTCCATTCGCTCTCAACGGAACCACCATCTCCGAATGCAACAGTTATATATACTTAGGTCGAGAAATCAACATGATGAATGACCTGGCACCTGAGTTACGCAGGAGGAAGAGAGCGGCTTGGAATGCCTTCAAGAGCATTGAAGAAATAACTAAAAGGACAAAGAACCTCCAGCTACGAGCACATCTCTTTGATTCCACTATTCTTCCTGCATTAACATATGCCTCAGAGACCTGGACCCTACGAAAACAGGATGAGAACACTATTCGGGTCTCTCAAAGAGGAATCGAAATAACTATGCTTGGAATATCACGATTCACTCAAATGAGAGATAGAATCCGGAGTTCTGATCTTCGTCAACGCTCAAGAATCAGGGACGCTGTCTCATTTGCCAAGACATCAAAAATCAGATGGGCTGGACATGTAATAAGGTTTACAGACAACCGCTGGACTAGAGCCATTACTGATTGGATTCCACGAGACATCAAAAGATCACGTGGACGCCCACCTATAAGATGGTCAGACTTCTTCGTCAAGACCCTAAGTGATCGGTTTGAGGCTCTACATGTTCCTAAAACAAACAGATACCATTGGGCTACGCTAGCACGCAACCGGGATGAATGGAGACGTTACTGGCACCCGCTCGAATAAATCGATGAATAACGGGGATTAAGTGATTAAGTGAAGTGATATAATACATACATATATACATATATATGTAATATAGCACACAAGACTCAAACTCTAACAACATATTAATGGTATCTAATACAGGGGCTTAATTGCTCCAAGATGAGATACAGTGTTCACACACTTTCCTCTAAGGAAACTTCTTGATCATTTTTAGTCAATGCAATACAAAATAAGTTAATTAGAATCTGCCTTTGGGGTAGGCTTCGGTGGTGGTGGTAAAACTCAAAATAATGGTGGTGGGAAGGTATAATGATGGTGGGATTGATCTTGGAATATAGAATGTAATCATTTACTGTGAACAACTGCTTGAAAATAAAATTTTAAAAAATAAAATAAAAAATTTTTAAAATAAAATAAAATCTAAGGAATGAGATGCAAAAAAAGGAAATAGTGTTGAATGTGCAAATTAGTTTAGGTTAAATGGCCATTTTAACAGTGTTTATTATTATTCATGAATATTGGGATTTTTCCTTTTTGTGTATTTTTTTAACAAATCTTATAGTTTTACTGTATAGGTCTTACAGTTCTTTGTTAGGCTTATCCCAGAGAAATTGTACATTTTTTGTGCAACTGCATTTGGGAACATTTTCTTAATTTCCATTTCCTCTAGCTTATTAGTTACATAAAGAAATGATGCAAAGGATTTATGCCTTTTACTTTGATCAGGAAGTTCACTGATGTTAGGAAATGTAATGTCACAGACTCTGTTCTTCCATAACAAACTTCGGTAGATAACAGCAGTGTTGCATGGTACAGCAGCCATGCCACAAAGTCCTTTTCTTATTCCCACTTCTACAAGTCCATGCACTGCAGTCACTATCCTTCAGGTACACAGAAATGGGTCCCTGAAGCAAATTAGACTGAGAGTTGCTCTCTATGGCTATCAGACTGAGAACTGGTGAAATTTTTCTGAAAATTGTAGTTGATATCTGGTTGTGCTTGAATGCAATCATTGGCTTCTAGAGTCTATTCATCTGTGTCTCCAAAAAAATAGTAATATTTAATTTATAAGTACCTCAATTGAATTTCCCAATCAAAAGAAAGAGAAGTCGCAGTGGATTATATATAAAAAATAAATAAAGGCAGTGTGCTGCGTCTTGTACACTTTTTAGATAATAAAAATGTTTCAAGTTGGCAGTATTTCTCACATAAGTAATTGCATTCGCAGATTTCCATAAAATAAAAGTAACTGAATCTGATGGAGATTTAAGTTTCTGATGGAACTTTAGCCACAGTATTGGTCTCTCTGTGCCATCCTTTCTAGACCTGGAAGCACCAGCAGACGAGAGCAATAGTAGGACCAATTTAATAATCACTATTTTTGGAGTCTTGTATTTTTTTATTTTTATTTATTTATTTATTTATTTATTTGGGCTGGAGCAATAGCACAGCGGGTAGGGCGTCTGCCTTGCACGCAGTCAACATGGCTGACCCGAGTTCGATTCTTCCGCCCCTCTTGGAGAGCCCGGCAAGCTACCGAGAGTATCTTGCCCACACGGCAAAGCCTGGCAAGATCTCCATGACGTATTTGATATGCCAAACACAGTAACAAGTCTCACAGTGTTACTGGGCCCGCTCGAGCAAATCGATGAACAACGGGAGGACAGTGACAGTGATTTATTTATTTACTTTTTGCTTTTTGGGTCACACCCGGCAATGCACAAGGGTTACTCCTGGCTCTGCGCTCTGGCAGTTCTCAGGGGACCATATGGAATGCTGGGAATCGAACCCGGGTCGGTCGCGTGCAAGGCAAATGCCCTATCTGCTGTTCTATTGCTCCAGCCCCCATGGAGTCTTGTTTTTTAAAGAAAAAAAAATTTTAAACCACAAGCGGTGACAGAGACACTTTGAACCATTTATTCTTGTTAAAAGTACATGTAATTTAACAGTAAAAAAAGAGAATTGTAGATCGGCGGGGATAGCTCAAAGAACTACTGTGAATGGTTCTTTGCTTTTTGTTGTTTGTTTTTATTTTGGGGTCATAGCCAGTGGTACTCAGAGCTTACTTCTGGCTATATGCTCAGGGATCACTACTGACGGGTTTGGAAGACCGTATGGGATGTTGAGGATAGAACCTGGGTGGACCATATGCAAGGCAAGTGCCCTACTGGATGGACTATCACTCTTGCAGAAAGCTCAGTTCTCTCTCTAGCACCACATAGTACCCTGAGCACAAAGATGAATGTGGCCTCGCCTTTTATAAAAAAAATTGAATTCAACAAATATTGATTCAACCCACTTCTACATCAATCATCAATAATTTCAGAAGAGAAATGTTTCTTTATATTAGAGTTTTGTTGTTCCATCCATTTCTTTATATGTAGCACACTTGAAGTCCCGACATACCATACTTTCTCTTCTCAAATATAAGGCATTTATTTATATATTGACTACTGGCTCCTACATTACTTCAATCCTGATCAGTTAGCTCAGTCAGTTAGTATCAACCAATCCTGATTTGGGAGGAGCTCGCCAGGAAGTACTCAGGAGGCTGGGCTCCTCTAAGCAATCTAGGCCAACTGGAGGTTCAATGCAAGGGCCCAAGGATACAGTGCTGCTATGGTCCTGTGGTACCATGTATTACCTGGATCACCCTGGCAGTTCTCAGGGACCTCAAGAGATCTCAGCAGCACTTAAGGGTCTCAAAGTTGCATTGGTAATTATCTGGTAACCAAGTGGAAACATAATGAGACAAGGTCAGTCATATGCAAGGCAATTGCCTTATCACTGTGGCCTCTGATAGTTTTTAATAGTATATTCTCTTTTTCAGTCTTCATATAGCAACACACAAAAATACATCTGCAGCATTAACTTCAATAGCTAGGATTATTAAACTAAAATCTGTCCATTGGTTAATTTCTGCCTTCTACATTGAACTAATTCTAATCTTTTATTTGCTTAGTTGTTTTCTATCTGGTTCATCTACACAATGTTGAGAATGTTTTAAGGTCTCCAACTTATCTCAATTAAAAAAACATATGATAAACAATGTCACATATTGTACTGTATATGTTTATCAGTAGATATGAACCTTTGTAGTTTTTTAAACTTACTTTCCAGTATTTGATGAAATACCCAAAAACTGTAGTAGCAATGTACAGGCAGTAGAGAACAGAATAAGCTAGAAACTGAAGGAAGAATTTGTAGTTGGAAAATCCAATGCAGTTATTGACCCTAAAAATGAAAAAAGATAACTTAGAATACAGACTCTCATATAAAACAAATACTTCATTATGTGTTGTATTGAAATTCAATAAAAATAAAATTTTTCTTAGTTGGAACATCAAGAAAAATTTCCAGAACCACTTGTTCCTTCTTTCTTCTAGGCACAGGGAGAATTGACTCACCCATTAATTTTGAATTGGTTCCTGACATATACAAGTTGTTTTCTTGAATGTGGGTGCCCTATTATATTTGTACAGTCACACATAATTATAATGTGACATACTCTCTTTCTTGTTAGAGTATTTCAGACTCTAGTCTTCTAGGTCAGAATGGTTCTCTAAGCCATAACAAATTCGGAGAACTGCTGACATTAGTACTATGAATTATTTTTTATTTTGGGGGGCCATATCTGGCGATGTTTAGGGGTTACTTTTGGCTCTACACTCCTGGCGGTGCTCCGGAGACTATATGGGATGATGAGAATTGAGCCTGAATTAGCTGCATGCATGACAAGCACCTTATTCACTGTACTATCGCTCTGGCCCCAAGATTTTTAATGTTTTTACAGGTAAAAATTGATTTTTATACTGACAAATTGGAGAATTACTTAGGTTCTATTTTTTAGTATGTCCAATTACTAAAAATAAGGTCTTGGAGATCATTAACATTATGATCCTCAATATTCACTACCTTAACGTTGGTAGTAAATTCTTGCTCTAAATTGTTGTGCTTCCTTCACCCTGAGTCCCCAAGACAAATCCCAGTGAATTATGACATCAAAAATAAGCATGTTACAACCATGTTTAGAAAACTGGGCATATTAACCAACTTCAACCAGTTTAGAGGAGAGAAATCAATCAAAAGGACATACCAAGGGCAGTGGTGGTCCATTTTTAATACACACCTATAAAATAAGGAACAGAAAACAAAGTGATAAATTAGGCTATGGAAATGAAATAGCAGCTTTTCATTCATATCAAACTCTTAACAGCACTTTTACATGCTATCAGTAAACCTAAGTTTCTACTCCAGCAATTACAAAGCTATTGTAGTTTCAGTTATAGATGAGACAATAGCAATACTATATAGGATCATGTTGACAGCAATCATATGTCTAAAAGTACAAGTTTTAAAAGGGATTAGGAAGTCTAGTATATTGAAATAAAGAAATATCTAAAATAAATCCTTTCAATTTATTATTAATTAATGGAAGTACGGAAATAAATATGTTACTATAATCAGCAATAGATTAAAGGTCAAGAAAAAAGAAATATGGAGGAACTGAAGAAGAAAGCCATAAAAATTTATTTATAAATAAATCTATTAGGTTTTATAAAGCTAATAGAATTTGATTAATGAAATATATATAGTGACATTGATTTATGACAAAAAATACAAAATAAACATCCATATATTTATACTGATACAAATAAATGTTTAATACATAAATAAGTGAGGTATGAGATAAATATCCCAGAAAGAAAAATTCCAAATATACTAATATCAAGGAAGAGAATAGCTCTTGATTCTTTAAAGGCTATGTACAGTAACTTTTCCTAAAAATCATAGTTTTAAAGGGCAAAGGGTATTTTTAGTGGATAAATATAATAAGAACTTATTAATCAAACAATCAATTTTAACATTGCAGTGATACCCTATTTGTAGTATATATCTATGGACTTCCTCCTCAAAATACATAACCCAAGTCTAATAATGATAAAAATGTCAGACAAATTCAATTGAGGGATATTATACAAAATATCTGATCATTAATATTAAAAACTGGGCCAAAAAGATAGTACAGCAAGTAAGGCACTTGCCTTGCATACAGCTGACCCAGCTGACCCAGGCTCGATCTCCAGCACCGCAATATGGTCCCCTGAGCCCCGTGAGGAGAAAACCCTGAGCACCATCGAGTGTGGTCCCCAAACAAACAAACAAAAAACCAAAAAAAATGTTAAAGATTATCAATAACAAGTACAGTCTGAGAAATTGTCATATCTAAAAGTAGCCTAAGAAGGTAAGACTTGTGGTATCTTGGATGGAATTCTGGAAACAGAAAAATAAAACAGTTGGGAAATTTTGTAAAGTGTGTACTTCAATTAAAATAATTTATCAACATAGTTCATTAATTGTAGCAAATGTACCATGTTAAGGTATGATATTAAAAAATAGAAGAAATGGCTAAGAGATATAATGTTTTTTCACAAAGCCCTACAAATCTCACGCTGTTCTAAAGCAAAATATTTACTTTAAAAGTGGGTTTTGAACACAAATTCCCACCTAAAAATAAATCAATCAAGAAGTAGTGTTACATATACACAATGCAATACTATGCCAGTCTAAAAAAGGACAAAATAATACAATTTGAGGTAACATGGATGGATCTAGAGATAACGTGCAGAGAGAAGTCAGTCAGAAGGAAAGGGATAGATACAGAACAATCTCTCTCACATGACTTAATGTTACACAGCAAGGTAGCACAAAATGTCCAAAGACAACATAGTGGGAAAACTGATACACACAATTAAGGTTGGGTAGAAGGATTGAGAGGGAGTGGTGTTGAAGTCCTTGGGAGAGGTAGGTGGGTACACTGGTGATGGATGTGTTATAGGAATTATGTAAATGAAAGCTATTATTAATAGTATTGGAATCCATAGAATCCAAATAAATAAAAATAAATTTAAGTAGAATACTTTGAATTATCATCCCTATGAGGGTTTTTTTGGCACATGCTTTTTATGGGCAAAAGAAAATGCTTTTATCTAGGCATAGTTACATGTTAGATACATCATTTTGTTATCTAAAAACACAGTAATGGTCAAACTCATCCCAGATGAAATATTGTTCTCACTTACATAGCACAAACAGAGCAGTGGTGGCAGCGATCTGGCTTGATCAAATGACACCGGTCACAAAACCGTACAGCTATGGGAAAAAGAAGGTGATTAGCTTCAGTCAGCGATTAATATACTATTAAATATTTCACTAGTGGAAGCCTTGCTGTACACAGATTATTATAATCAAACTCATCTACCAAGAAAAAAAGATAGATCATATAAAAGATTTATGCTGATTTTTTTCTTTGTGGCTGAATCTTGATATATATTTAGGGGGGTATAAAAGAGAGAGGCATTTTCTTCATATATGGATATATGGTGATAAGGTTTTATCCTAGAAGACACCTGCAAACTGCTTGAGTAATCTTGGTAAAATCATCTTTGCCTGCTTTGCTTGAAGTTTCCTATTTGGAAACAAAAAAATTAAAATTTATCTTCTGTTTCTAGAGATTGGATTATACAATGGAGATAGAACACCCAAGACATGGTAGTCAGAATGGTTCTTAAAATAACAATTTAGAGAGTAGACAAGATATGTAGAACAATAAGATCATAGATGACAGAAGTAAGGTGGGGTGGGGAGATAAGGAAGAATATAGTGAGACTTGCACATGGTCCCACAGCAAGCAAATGGAAACACTGCAATGGATCATTTTTTCCTAACCTTAGTCAGAGTTCTAGTCACTTAGAAAATCAAAAATAAAAATCACTCTAGGTCCCTCTCTCTTTCTCTGTATTCTTCCTCATCTCCCCACCTTCACCTTCTTCCTTTTTTTTAAATTAAAGTAATTTTCCTTTCTTTTAAAGTTTTTTTTTGGTGCCATGGTGATTGTATAGCAGATAGGGTGTTTGCCTTACATGAGGCCAACCTGTGTTGGAACCTCAGCATCCCATATGATCCACAGAGCATTGCCAGAAGTAATTCCTGAGTGCAGAGCCATTATTAACTACTGAGCATTGCAAGGCGTGACCCAAAAAGAAAAAAAAAGTTTTTTTGGTATGTCACACCCCGCGATGTTCAGGACTTAATCCTGTCTCTACACTCAGGGATCACTCCTGGTGAGGCTCGGGGGATCATGCAGAATGCCAAGATCGAAACCAGGTCAACTGATTGCAAGGCAAGAACCCTGCCTGCTGTACTATTGCTCTGGCCCCAAAAGACACTGTCTTTTCTGTCTCATTTTCTTTGTGTTTACTAATAAAGGAATTCTGTATTAATTTGATGATTGTAAAATGTAGCAATTGAATAATTCCATCTAAAGTGTACAATAAGCACATACAATTGATTCAAAATAATGAACAGCTAGTTCATCAACATTTGTGTTCATTTCCAGAATATACACTCTCTGAGTGGGATGAGGTAGCTAAAATATGATTATAATTGAGGCAAAGAGAAGGGGATTGTAACACGCAGTTTTGGTTCCTTAAGAATATTTTTAAAGACACAGTCAATATCCTTGCCAAATTTAAGCCAACATTATCTCTTAGACAACTGCTATTGTTGTCCACTCTGTTGTTAATTTTTCCTCCACTCCCCAAATGCATTTCTTAGAGATCATCCACTGATATGTTGGGGGGTGGGAGGGATACTGGGATCCGTGGTGGTGGAAAATGGGCACTGGTGGAGGGATGAGTATTTGATCATTGTATAATTGAAACCCAAGCACAAAAATCTGTAAGTCTACAACTGTACCTCGTGGTGTTTCACTAATAACATTTTTTTAAAAAAATGTAAGTCAGACCATAGTTCTCACTACTTAAAATTTTCAGTGGATTTCTAACTCTTTGAAAGAAATCCAAACTCCTTACCTTGACCTGAATCATTTCTCCCCTGCCTACCTCCTCAAATTTAAGGTTTATGACTGTCCACCTGCTATATTCCAGTCACAATGGATGTCTATCTACTCTTATAATATTACACTCTTGCTACTATCTCAGAGTCTTCTGTAGTTATGGTTCCTTCCATCTGGATGCTAGTCCCCCTGACCACTGTAAAGCTAGTTGCATTCTACAATTCAGGATTCAGCATGGCTTCTCTACTAGTCTATATAAGGGATGCTATTAAAATGCTTATAGGGTCCAGAGAATATTGAGTTGTGAGTAAAACAGATAATTGAAAATGGTGGGGAAACCTGGGACATTATGCTTCGTTTAAATAAAGTAGTTGCTATTTGGCTCTAATTTTTGACATATAGAAATACAGCTAGAATGTTGCCTGAATTTTCAGAACAAGGAAGAAATAAAGATTTTCGTGTGGAAATAAAATGTAAAAATTAGTAAAAATGTAGAGTTATAAAGAATGCAACAGAAGATAATTTCACGTTCATTTCTTTTCATCATATTTCAGTATGATGAAAAAAATAATTTTTTTGTTTTTTTTGAGTTACACCCGGTGATGTACAGCGGTTACTCCTGGCTCATGCAATAAGGAATTACTCTTGGCGGTGCTCAGGGCACTATATGGGATGCTGGGAAACAAACCAGGGTTGACTGCGTGCGAGGCAAAAGCCCTACCAGCTGTGCTATTGCTCCTCCAGCCCCCTGAAATAATATTTAACATATGTAAAGTTGCAAAATAGAAATTATATTAAGTGTAAATCACAACACTATGAAGGTAGAAATTAACCATATAAAGAATATGTGGAAAAGCAACAACACTTGGAAAATGAAGAAAATGCTGCCAACAAACAATGGAATCAAAGAGAAAATAAAACGACAAGTTAAAAGATACCTAGAAATAAATGATAATAAATATATAAACTCTAAAAATCTATGGTACGGGGGTATGGTGCCGCCAGCAAGTCAATCTGTACCTGTGAGGCGAGTGCATCAGCAGCCTGATGGTGCCTTCAGACTTCCAGATACCCAAAATTGCTACTGTGCCTTTGGCCAGACCCCAAAAACTTGGGGCAAAGTTTACCAAGAAAGTAAACAGCCAAAAGTTAGGTATGTGGGAAACACCCACAAACCACCTCCGGCTCAGCTATATAATTGGAGGCAAGGCCTCTCTGGTTCCTGATTGAACTGCTTAATGGCCATGATCCCAGAGACTCAGAAACAAATCTCAAAACCCAGCAGCTTTTGGCAGAGATGCGTCTGGACCCTGCAGTAGGTTACCGGTACTGGGCCAACCCAGGCGGGAATAGGTTTCGTGCCTTGGCCTGTTCCCCCTGGCGGCCCAGTGGCCGCCATCCTTCAGATTCCACTGGATAGTCAGGTTTGGACCCGCAGTGACGAGACACACAGGGCCTCACAGGATAGGGGTGGAGCCGGGCTTGTCCTCCCCACCCCAACGAGACCCCAAGTCATCGCCCACCAACGGCCTATCTGGCTCCTGATCCAGCTGCTTGACGGCCATGATCCCAGAGACGCAGAAACAAATCGCAAAACCCATTGGCTTAAGTGAGAAATGCGTCCAGACCCCACAGTATGTTACTGTCGCCGGGCCACCCCAGGGAGGAAAGGGTGTTGTCACTCCGCCTGCTCCCTCTTGGCGGCTCGTTGGCCGTTATCCTCCAGAGGCCGTTGGACAGTCAGTTTTGGACCTGCAGTGACGAAACATGTTGGGCCTCACAGGATGAGGGGGGAGCCGGGCCTGTCCTCCCCACCCCAACGAGACCCAAAGTCATCGCCCACGAACGGCCTCTCTGGCTCCTGATCAAGCGGCTTACCGGCCTTGATACCAGAAACTCAGAAACAAATCTCGAAACCCAGAGGCTTTTGGTGGAAGTGTGTCAGGACCCTGCAGTAGGTTACTGTCACTGGGTCACCCCAGGGGAGAAAGGGTGCTGTCCCTCCGCCTGTTTCCCTCTGGCGGCTCGGTGGCCGTCATCCTCCAGAGGTTTTTGGACAGTCAAGCTTGGGCCCGCAGTAACGAAACTTGTTGGGCCTCACGGGATAGGGGCGTCGGGGCGGGCCTGTCCTCCCCACCCTAACGAGACCACAAGTCATCGCCCACGAAGGCCTCTGTGGCTCCTGATCAAGCTGCTCAATGGCCATGATCCCAGAGACTCAGGAGCAAATCTCGAAACCCAGTGGCTTTTCAGCCCCAGAAGCACAAGGACTTAATGCAGAACCCAGCAGCTTGGAGCAGAAAAGTGAACGGACTATGCGTTAATCCAGGCAATTATGTCTGCCCGGAAGGGAAAGGGTGTTGCCCCATTCGCCCTTTCCTCCCTGGAAAGAAGGATGGCGGCCGAATGGGAGCCTTGTGGACAGCAGGTATGAGCCGGGGGTGTGGGGGCGACTAAAACCTCATGGGAAGGGGGGCGTTCTGGTCCGCCCTTCACGCCCTACCGAGGTCACCAGTTGCCCCCCACAAGCGGCTCTCCAGCACGGCCACAGCCCCAGAAGCACAAGGACTTAATGCAGAACCCAGCAGCTTGGAGCAGAAAAGTGAAAGGACTATGCGTTAATCCAGGCCATCATGTCTGCCCGGAAGGGAAAGGGTGTTGCCCCATTTGCCCTTTCCTCCCTGGAAAGAAGGATGGCGGCCGCATGGGAGCCTTGTGGACAGCAGGTATAAGCCGGGGGTGTGGGGGCGACTAAAACCTCATGGGAAGGGGGGCATTCCGGTCCGCCCTTCACGCCCTACCGAGGCCACCAGTTGCCCCCCACGAGCGGCTCCCCAGCATGGCTACAGCCCCAGAAGCACAAGGACTTAATGCAGAACCCAGCAGCTTGGAGCAGAAAAGTGAAAGGACTATGCGTTAATCCAGGCCATCATGTCTGCCCGGAAGGGAAAGGGTGTTGCCCCATTCGCCCTTTCCTCCCTGGATAGAAGGATGGCGGCCGCATGGGAGCCTTGTGGACAGCAGGTATGAGCCGGGGGTGTGGGGGCGACTAAAACCTCATGGGAAGGGGGGCGTTTCGGTCCGCCCTTCACGCCCTACCGAGGCCACCAGTTGCCCCCCACGAGCGGCTCTCCAGCACGGCCACAACTCCAGAGCACAAAAACCAATTTCTTAACTATCTGACTTTCAGTAGAAATACTTCCAGGGTCAATAAGTAAAATAGCAGAAATCCAAAACCAACATTTAATTCTTGAACCCAGCTGTAGAAAGCAAATCACTTCACAATGCTTTTTCA